GGTATTTGAAACAATGATCTATACATGATCTATGTCGGTGCTGACAATTTTTGTTGTAAACTATAGCATCAATCTGAGACTTTAATTTAAGAGGAGCGTTCTTGCAGGCTGAATGATAAAGCTTTTCGTATGATGGCAGGGCAGGTGTATGAGTTAAACCTTTACAGCATTTCACGACGCATGATTAGATAATTTTAGACGCGCATTAAAAGTAGATCGATCTCGACGGTATAATAACAAAAACTCCTTTATTTAATTTTTTATAGTAAAATGTACATAATTTAGTCATGGTATCAATAGTTGGTCCTTTTTTTTACACCAATTATCATAAAGCTATAGTGCTTAAAAATATAACTTTCCAATACTTTATCCTAAGTTATATTTAAATCAGTATTTGAAGCTAAATATGATGTTTGTTAAAATTTAAGACAATTTTTTCTCCACATGGTTTCTTTGAAACACAACTGATAATAGTTTTACAAAGTTATATTTATTGAGAAAATTGTGTGTAGAAAGAAGCCTACTTCTCATTCATTATTTTTTACCTTACATACTATTATGCTATTTTTTCTGTTTATTTACTATATAGGTAAAAGGTATTTGGTTATTTAAGAAAAAAGATCGCAGGTACATTATTGAAATTGTTTTTTCCCTGTAAAAAGTTTAGACTTAATTTTTATTTGGGTACCATGGAAGAGATAAATCAAAGTTTATCTAACTCTGTAACCAAAGAACTCAATTTTCAAGTTCCTGATATTTCTGAGGAAGTTCACTTCATCTTTGACGTTGCCATCAACTGTTTCCTAATCCACATCATGTGTTTTTTTTTTGGAATTCTGGGAAATTCTCTAACGATTATCATCATGATTAAAAACGGGTTCAAGAACCCGACTGACATTGTACTTACAGGGCTGGCGGTGTCTGATTTATTCTATTCAGTCACCCAGTCCTTGTTTCAAGTTTCTTCTTTTTTGTTTAAGTTTGATGTATACACTGCGTACACATACTACGCATATATGTACGTGTATGTCTACTTCTGGAACCAAAACTCTATGTTGATTAGTGTCGAACTTGTGACCATCATCGCCTTAGAACGGATGTTGGCAGTGTGGTTTCCATTTCACGTCTCCAGAATTATCTCCCCGTCTCGTATGAGTTCCCTGGTTGTGTTTGTGTTTGTTTTTATGTCGATTCTTAGTGCACCATTTGTCGCTTCTGTACAGTACGGGGAGACAACGATTGACAACACAAACAGAACAGTTGGCGTTATATTGTATACAGATTACCACGCAAAAAATGAACATCTTGTAAATATTTACCGTAATTATTTCATGCTGTTCGTAATCTGCATTTTCCCTGTTGTAATAATAACGATATCTTCGTTATTAATTATTTTAAAATTATTAACTTCATCAAAAAAGTTTACAAAGCTAATCCGCACTAATTCGTCGAAAAGATTAAGAGATTTAAGATCAGTGAAAATGACCTTACTCATCTGTTTAAGCTTGATGGTTCTGGTCATTGTGCCGGTCAACACTCTGGACATTTACTTGACCATCGTACGCCAATTTCCGTTTGGCGCTAGAGCCCTATCACTAGTAACATACCTTTTAGAGATAATTGAACAGCTCAACGCATCTAGCAATTGTATTATTTATGTTACTGTGAATCCAAAATTTAGAAAAACGTATCATGAGCTTCTCGGTTTAGTCAAAAGAGAACGATCGCTGGAGAAAAAAAAATTAAACATGCATAAGTTCATGGATAAATGTTAAGAAAATGTGGTTGAATATCAAATGTATACAATTGTTCAACATTTTACTTTATTAAACAATTACTGAGAGAGTTTAAAAGAAAGTAAAAAAGAAATAACAATAGTCGAACGGATGTCAACGGAAATTAAATAATTAGACCACGTTCATTATACCTTCAATTCTATGGAATTATACAACACTACTCCATGTAACAAAGCATGTGTTTGCAATGTTTAATGATAGTTTGCATTTGAGCAATTTTACTTGTTTGTAAAACATGTGTTTCTTATTTAAAGTAATGTATCCGAATTTGGCCGTGTGTATTTGTATGTGACCGGATGGCATTGAAAATTATACCCTCTTCTGTAATATTTTCCAAAGCACCAAAAACTTCATGGGCTCGTAAAAGAGATGTGCTATATATATAATGTACTAAAATTTCCTATAACTTCCTATAATTTAACAGTTTGTATATTTATTTGTTTGTCAATATCAGCTTATCTACAATTGGCCTACGTGAAGAACTTTAAAATACGTACTTACACAGGGAAACAATTTCTAATTCTATCTATCTATATGTTACGGTCAAAGCCCGAAGTGCGGCCAAAGCGCGGATTGGCCGGCTCTCTTGGCCAAATCCCGAAGAACTTAGCACTAAGATCGTATTTCGTACATTGGCCGGCCAATGCGCGCACTGGCCGGGATGTCCTGGCCAATGTTCTATCTAGACTAAGTTGTGATCGCGTTTTCATTATTCTGGGTGCGGTTTCATTGTGAGTAACGTATTGTTCGGCTTTTGTTTGCATAGCATTCTATATGAAATGCGACATGGATCAAAGGACCGTCAGATCAAGAGACAGACATACCAGATGACTGTCTAAAGAAAAAAAATGTAAATCCATGTTAGTTTCCATATATGCTAACCCGTAAGTCTCAAGTTAATAAATAACACTTTCTGTTTACATTGCTAAGTCTCAAGTTCGAGTCCGGGTTTAAGTAAGTAGACCGTCCCTGAGTCCACCCAACTCTGATGGGTACCTAACTCCTGTTAGGGAAAGTAAAGGCGGCTGGGCATTGCTGACCACACTATCTCTTCATATGCCGAGGTCACAGAAACATGTGAGCTCTACTTCACTTGCTTCATAGACCGTCAGGTTTGAAAGGGAAACTTTCCACTTGGTGCGCAATTCTTTTTTTTTCCGAGATTCTATTCTATTATAAAAAGTTTAATGTTAAAAATGATCTGTGAAAAACGTAAACACACAGAGAGACGCTATCACTGTGGACGTACGCGCAGTGTTTTCTGGGTCGAGGTAGCATAGACGCGCAGCAGTATGGCCGACGCCGGCCAATAAAAAGACGTGGTTTAGCTTCTAACAACAGATTGTCCAATCAGAGAGAAGTAGTACATAGTTGTGCATGCTCGGGATGCGTGATAGAAGGCCTTTTTTAGGTCAATGCTTATTTTTAGAACTGAGTGACACCGGAAAATCCTTATAGAGCAAATAAAGAGCAATCCGGCGATACCAAACACGATACTATAGCATCGTGTAAAACGAAACCATTAACTCAACAAATTAGCGTATTTTGGTCAACTTTTAATAAAAAACAAATACCCCTACCCCCTTCTTGACATATTTTCATGTTCAAAACATTATTTTATATAAAAAATAACATCACCAAATGATTTATAAGGTAATAATCTATAAGAATATGTAATAATCGATTTTTGTATTTTTTATGAATTAACTATCATATTCGTGACCCGTGGGTCCCCTTAAGTAATTAAAAATGGATAACAAATATTGTCTATGTCCTGAGTTGCCATCCCTCGTAATTTTATATTAGAATATTCGAGAAAGTTTAGGGGAGATCACTCCCGGTTTATTTCCTTCTCATACTTCTTTTGTATTTGTTTTGGCGCAAAACCAGGTCTTGTGTCTCCACACATTTGCAAGACCTTATCTGATATATAATCATCCGCACTAGACATTTTGTTGAATATTTTTTTTTTCCCTTTTGTTTATGGGGTGCAAATTTTAGATTAGTCAGTGTGATAAATCCATCATTTTGTTGAATATTTTTTTTTTTTTTTTTTTGTTGGTCATGAATTTTATTTGTTGACAATACAATAAAAATTTCAAATGATGAACTAATGCTAGAGACAGTCTAACTTTTAGAAACTGAGAAAGTTTTTTTACATTCTAAACCTTACAACAGATGAAGACCTTTTAAAATATATAAAAGTATTCTGCGCTGGAAAAATGAACCCCGATGATTATGTACAATGAGTTTATCCTAAACAAGTAATTTTCTGCCTAGACTTCAATATCTCTATTCAATTTAAAATTGTGTACATCAAAGTACAAAAAGAACCTGAAAATAATAATTTGATTTCTAGCTGGATTTTAAAAAATGACATGTTTGAGTGAAGTGTTTACAGAAAAAGTGTAACCCATCAACAAAGTTACGCAAGGGGAACAGAAATGCCCAATTCACTCAACTACCACCAGGACAATGATAAGCATGTCCCTGCCAGTAAAAATGTATACCAATTTCCATTCAACTACATACAAATACATAGAAAATGTGTAGCTGGTACTTGTTAAAACATAAAAATACTGAGATACTCAGATGGCTGTTATGAACAGAACATTTATGACAGCTGAGTATCACAACGTGTAAATGATGTAAGACAACTGCAAATAGTAAAATTACCATATTCTCCTTCACACACAGCAACAGATCTAAAAATAAGCATGCAAAGATTTGGGCCAAATGACACTACTACTTTTAAAAGGAAAGAATTTAAAAAAAAAACTATTTAAAACCAAGAACCTGAACATTTTCATAATAACTGAACTGATCACAACAGCATATTATGCCACTCATATCATTGGTTTACTTCTATACAGACATATAAAGCCTTACTTGATGTCTTTTCTAGACAAGAATCTAAAACTGAATATGCGACTCCTTAAACTAACACGCTGTTCATTCCATATGAAGCATTTTTACATTTGACCCATTTATGCAGAAATAACTCATGTCACATAGTAATGGAGCTTCTAAAACCTTTGATGAAAATCAATCATTACATAAAAGAAAGTGTAAAAGAAAAACCAAGTCATTTTTTCAAACAACCAAGACAGGCAAAAATAAACAAGTTGTACAATTAAAGAATATGCAGTTTGTTTTTTAGAGTCAATTCTATAACAGGTCATAAAATTACTATAACAGATTAGATTCAGCGTACTAGATTTTTTTATTTTAGGTAACAGATCATTTGAAGGACTGCTTGATCCAAAATAAAGTAAAGAAAAATGACTGGGTTTTCCATCATGTATTTTTAAACTCACAGTAAACAAAGACATACAAATAAACAATCTTTTTAAACTCAATCTCCCTTCTTATCATCATCATCATTATCATTGTGTGTGTGCCAGGTAAGTCTTTCCTCATAAAATGCTATTACAATTTGTGGACATTTCACATTAGCTTGTCGTGCAGGAATCAAATCAGCCTCATCACTGTCTTTCCATTTCATTAAAAACATGAGTTCACCACTGCTGTCTGTTGCACCAATAATTCTCTCAGGGGCTAAACCTCTGTCAAAACCTCGAGGCTTGTTATCAGATTCATCTTTTTTCTTCTTTTTTGCATCATCTTTTGCTCCATTCGAAGTTGATTTCCGTTTGGCACCTTTTTCTGAATCTTTTTTCTTTTTCTTCTCTTCAAATGCTGCAATCAGATCTGGGCAGTCTAAGTTCTCTTCAGGTTCCCATGTGTTCTCTGAATCTGGATATCCTTTCCATTTTAACAAGTATTCCTTTTTTCCACCACGCATTCTTGAATCAACAACTTTTTCCACTGTAAATTCTTCTTCTTCACCTTCTTCCTCTTCCTCAACTGGATCATCCTTAGATTTTTCAGCCTGGGTGAAGAGAGGCCCCAACTTACCAGACATTTTTTAAATCAATGTATGGGGGGTCGAGCAGAATGACTTGAGGTGCCCTTTTCTCGCAATAAGCAGAGAGGGTGCGCTATGCTTCTTTCAACGTTTACGCATTTTGTTGAATATGTGCTTTAAATCTGTCAGGAAGCAATTGCTTCATTATACTGATGCATTTAATACATTTTTAAATTATGTACTAAATGGTTCTTCAACAACGCTTAGGTTTTTATAAAAATACTATACATTTAAGTGATAATTTTGTTAAACAATATTTAAAGCATTAATGTTCATAATATACATACTTTATTTTAACACTTTATTTTGTTTTCTTGTATAGTCTTTATTAAGCAAATAATTTATTTCTGATAATGTTTGGAAAAAAAAATATTTTAGAAAATGTTTTAAAAATTATTTCCCTTTGCCACTTTGTACTAACAATAGGATTAAACAAACTTTTTAATAATTTTCGTCTTATTGACTATAACTATTAAAAAAAAACAACCACAGTGTCATTTCTAATTAGTGAACATTTAAATTAAAATGTAATTCAATTTCAAAACAACTAATTTATGTTTCTTTGTTTCCCAGGAGCCGACCCTTGAGGGGGGGGGGGGGAAGGGTAAACGAGATAGAAAAAATTAAAAAGCTCATTTTTAACTGCATGGCTGAGTCATACAAAGTTACTAAAATGGACTACCGCTAAATCTGCTTTGCTATCCTGACTGAATGAACTATTTTCTACGAGGCATAATAATAAAAACGATTAAAGTGTTAGGCAATTAAACTAAATGAAAAAAGTAGATTTTCCAATTATAATTTGCTGTATTTCGTTTTGGTGTCACCAACCTTTGAATGATGTCACCAGGTGCTGTTCGCACACCTGACCCCGCTTTGTGACTCATCTGCATACATCATCGGTTCTTTTTTTTAAGCGAGAGTGATCTCCCTAAAATGTTCTAGAATATTCTTATAACACTACGGGGAGCGGCAACTCAGGATATAGATAATATTTTTAATACATTTTAAATTACTTAAACTTTTTGTAATAGAATAGAATCTCGTAGAAAACAGTAATGCGCACAAAGTGAACATCAACCCCTTCCCTCCGTCACACATCGTCACAAAAAGCCAGACCCACCCCCTAAAATGACGTCACTCTTCAACCTAAAACCCCGCTCAAAATTGCAGTTGAATTTTTCTTAAAATACGATATTTTTTTTCCAAAATCTTGTCTGAACTCTGTCAACATAGAGTGTTTTAATCAATTCCTATTACAATTTATTAAAACAGTATTTCCAAAGCGCGAAATAACGTTAAAAATTCGTCTCTAACATATAATGCAAAAATATGACATACCACCATCCTAACCCCTCACCCTCTACCTTATCACACACCGTCACAAAATTACTCCTTACGAGTGTGACGTCATTTATGGACGACCCCATAAAAGTGCAAAACATTAGAACTATCTAAATACATATGCAATTTTTAGAAATCGAAAATAGGACTGTACTAAAAATAGGAAATACTACTTCCGGTCAATTGAAATCACTTAAAATTTGACCGAAGGCAGAGAATAAGATCGTTTACTTATATGTCAAATCGTAGGGTAAGCCGGGGTAATTCCACACACGGGGTAATTCCACACACTATATACTGAATACTCTCCATTTTAAATGGGAGTAAAGTTTAATAAAAAGTTATAATTCCCTGTTTCTAAGAGGTCATTTCTTATACTTTCTGATACTGTTAGAGAAGCGTTCATCTACAATCAGAGCAAGAATTTTAATTTTATCTGTATCGATCTTCAAACATCCTTACGTAAGTACAACCCCTGCACTTTTAAAACATAGTTTATTTTGTCTTATTTTTAATTGTTGTCAATTATTTATTGATTTTATGAAAGCTTAATCATTTTTGTTAATAGTAACAGTTAATGATGCTAGATTCAGCCTTTAATTTAGAACTGGAAAGCATATTTTTTTCAATAGTAGGTGTGGGGCAATCCCACACACATGATGTGGGGCAATTCCATACACTATAGTTTGGAATGACCCATGTTGCTTTTTATACTCTTTAAAGTGTTTAGCTGTTGTTTTAAACCATTTAAACTGGTTGTGGCTAATTCTGTAATTCACAACTCATGATTTAATCTTAAAAAATAATTAAATAGTACTAGATCTAGTACTATTTATTTTTAAAAAGACTGCTATTAAAGTTAAGTAAATTGCCACAGACTTCTATTATTTGTTTATCTATTATTATTTTTACTTTACCTATATTATTTATTATAATTTATGCAATATTTAGAGATAAACATCCTCATACACACATTAGCAATTAGACTTTCTAACATTTAATTTTGTTTTTATTTCAGAATGGTCCACACTTATAAACGAAAAACTTCGGCCTATGACAGATGAGAGCAGAATTCAGGAGGAAGAAATTGAGGCTTTCTTTTCATCCAGTGATGAAGAGTGGTTGCCCCCATTCAAAATTGTTTCCAATGAGAACAATGTTTTTTTTACAAATTTTTAAATACATGAATTTTTAAATTCTCATAATGTGTGTGGAATTGCCCCACTTGCCATGTTTGTGCAATAAAAGTGAAATATTTAAAAATTATATTTTATTTTGTGAATTATCTCTATATTTGTTTGCCATCATATAAGTAATGCATGTCTAATTATACCCTCAATATTGGATTGTGGTAGTGTTAATTTTAGATTTTTTTTACACATTGTTTTAGAAAAGTAGTGTATGGAATTACCCCGGGTTACCCTATTTATCTATCTGAAACAGTACTTAAATTATAGACTTTTGGTTTGTCCATTCGGGCATTTGTCGCATTCGGGCAAGTGCCCATTCGGGCTTTTGTCGCATTCGGGCAAGTGTCCATTCGGGCTTTTGTCGCATTCGGGCAAGTGTCCATTCGGGCATTTGTCGCATTCGGGCGAGAGTCCGTTCGGGAAATCGGCCTTCGGGCAAACGGGAATTTGTCATAGACCCCTTTAACGGTACTCAAGTTAGCATTTTCACAGACAGACACACATACATACACACAGGCATAATACAAAATTGCAATACTATGTTTTTCCGACCTAGAGAGGTGTTGAACGTCGCGGTTTCTGAAATACTCGATTTCGATTTATTTTTTCAAGATTACAATACTTTCTCTATACTTCGTATATGTCAGTATATGAAAAAGTAAAATATCATAATTGTATCATATACATTATTTTTGTTTTATTTTGATTTAATATGGCAAAGAAAATGGTACAGAATCAAACATTTACAACAACATAATGTTAAATTAAAATCCGATGGCGTTGATGGTTTGGTGTAACCTTGTCACTGTGGTGTGTAGCACTTGATGGAGTGTCTCGTCAGAACATTTCACCTCCATATACATAATGGCAGCCTTATCAGTGGCGTAGCGAGGTCGGGTGTAACCCGGTGCGGCACTCACTGGTGTCACACCCCTAGGGTCGTACCGACCCTTCCCGGGGACAAACTTTCAAATTTTCTATTTGCACCCCCCCTCTAACTTTCGATTTGCACCCCCCCCCTCAAGTTTTCGATTTGCACCTCCCCCCTCTCAAGTTTTTCTCTATACATTTTGCTATTTTTTGCCATGGTGTCACCCCCCTAAATGGTGTCACCCGGTGCGGTCCGCACCCCCCGCCCCCCCCCCCTCACTATGCCCCTGAGCCTTATCATCTACTGTGACTGTCAAACGATCTCTCTTAAATACTTTACTGGTGCATACAGGGCCAAACATTTCAGCTAAAGTTTCTAACAAACATTCCTGAAAGTGGGCTCTGTCTACTGTTAGTAAATGAGGTACATTTTGAACGGGGGTGGGATCTTGCTCAGATCGCACCAGGTCAGCAATGACTGCATCTGCATACATGTCATAGACAGTGTTGGCTGTCCATTCAATATATGCCACACCAGGTTCTAGGGACGCCTGGATTGAGTTGAATACTTTCAGAATGGTGTTGGCATACTCTTGATAACCTCAATGTCGCCAGCTAGTTGATTAAGACAGTAGGTTAATAAACTTGGAGACTGTGCTCATTGCTAGATATGTGTAGCTTTGTACATCTTTAGGGGAAACAATGTGATGATTTAAGTTTCGTTTGACTAGAATTCCAGATATTAGGTGTCTTTGTTTTGGTGGCTCTGCTGCAAACTCTTCCACTTTGCTATTTTCTCTCCTCTGAAATGTAACTCAATGGGAACTGTATTACGTGGATTGTGCACCTCCATCTTATACTCTGTGTCATCTTCATACTCCCTCAACAATGCTGATCTTAATCTGGACATTTCGCTGACTTCACCGTGAACCAAGACTAGATGAGCTGGTTTAAGCTCTCGACAGAGGCATAGCGACCCTTCCCGGCGCCAAGGTACAAGCTTTCAATTTGGCGCCCCCCACGGGAGCAAATTTTGAATTTGCACCCCACCCCACCTCAACTTTTCCATTTACACCCTCCCCCACTCAAACTTTCGATTTGCCACCCCCACCCCCCCCCCCCCCCATCAAACTGCAAAAATGCAGCTAAATTGACATTTTAATTTGTTTTTACAACCCATTTTGTCGCCCCCCTAAGATCGGCGCCCGGGGAACATATGTACCCCCCTGCCCCCCATCGCTACGCCTCTGGCTCTCGAAAGAATCCTGACGTTTGCTTGTAGTCAGCGTGGGCAGAAAATGAGATGTTATCAACAGAACACTTGAGTGGCAACTTCTGACCACTCTGTGTTACTATTTCATTGGGTTCAGTCAGGATGTGCTGGCAAAGAAAAATGTACTAATGCTAAAGCTAGCACACAGATCATTACATTCTATATGTTCCAATGAGCAGAAAAATAAAATAATGCTGATAACTGTGCTGCCTTATATAAGAGGTTTAATAAGTAAACAGTTGGTCACCATGGTAACACAACCTACCTTAGCTAATGTCCCTTCAACACAGTATCCAGCAATGATGCAGCTATTTCTTTTATCAGAGCACCAGCTTTCAAAACGTTCTCGTGACAAATCACTCTGCATCATACCTGGACTAGCCAGTACAACTGATGGGTCGATGTCTTCAAACTGT